AAATCTTTAAAATCATTGTTATGCGTTGTTTACCAATGGTCCAGAGGAAAGTTAAGGAATGCAAATGACTGACCAAGAAACGCAAGACACGAAAAATGATGCTAAAACAATGTTGATTAATAATACACAAGACAATTGCAAGTAAGGAATGCTATAAGTAGATCATAAACCGATAGATTATTTATAAACAATATTAACAAGCTTTTACAGGAAAACAAGGCGACAAAATAAAAAAAATAAAAAAGAGAAGTTCCGCGCGTATTAAAGCGCTAAATAAACTAATAATATTAAAACAGCCATTGGGACAATGCACAACAACATATGCTAATGTTTGACAATCCGACTAGCCTGTGTGCTCCTAATGACTTGTCATTCGTTTATTCTGAAAAGATGATACTACGGAACGCGTTTTTATTTACTTATAATAATTCCATATTCTGATAATGATTATTGTATGCTATAGAAAAAATATGTTTGTAAAGGTCAGTTAATATGATTTTAAAATATTCATAGTTGGTTGTAATTGTAGAAATCAAAGGCATATATTTTATTTAAAGAAGCATACCATATGCAAGTTCTCCTTCTTTAATACTTGATCCACGAGGGTATCGCCTGAATAGCATTCAATACCGAACAGGGCTGCAATATCACCAGAATTAATTTTTTCGAGATCTTCAAAATTCTGCACATTTACACGGCCGAGGCGAGAGATGCGAAACTTTTTGTTAGACCGCATATTCCATATTGTGTCTCCGCGATTTAGACAGCCTTGATAAACTCGCATGTAGGTGAGCTGACCAAATTTGCTTGCCTAAACAAAATAAATTGCGTATATGAAATGGAGATATTCTGAGGATTATGAAAGATTGCAAGGATTACAAATAATGACTAAAGAAGTACATGCAATGGGGAATATGAACTGCATAATGACGCAAACAATGATAACAAGTCATCAAACAATTGACTGGGATTAAGTATGACCTTTGCTAATAGCAATATGAGCGTACATATTTTTTAAACAATGCATTGTGAACATTTTGCGACATCCGAGTGAAGTAATGGATGAATGACACATGAAGTAAAACTAACTTAGAGTACGGTGTATCTAAATTGTTAGAAAGGAACCAAACAAGGCTTTTCAATGTAAGAATTTAATACGCTTAGTTACAGTGGGACAAAAATACCGAGAATTAAAACTTCGTTAACAATATATCAGGATATTTTAACTTTTTAAACTAGTCTATAATCTATTATTATGCCGCATTAAATTGTCTAAGACTTCAGTTTTAGTGATAAATTACCTCTAATTTGAAAGCTAGACCTAGAAAGGGTTTAATATCCGTACGTGAAGAATCCAAGGGAACATTAACCGTAGAACTGGAAAAAAATAAAAACATTGCTTAGCCAGGCCAACTTTAAAAGAAGTGAGTGAAATAAAATGCTGACAATTGATCTTAGTAAAAAATAAACAAGACGATGTTTGGAAACATTTTACTTCACCATGATATAATGAAATAGACTTGGAAAGAAATAATAAAAAAACAACTTGCTTATCCGGGAGCTGCTTAAGCGCACAATAATTCACATCTGCAGGGCTAGGCAAATAGGCAACT